AGACTCAGTGAGCAACAGATACCAAGGATGCTGGCTGATGAAGAAGACAAAGTAAGCTAAGTAGCCAATATAAGACTTAGCAGTACAGATAAATGTGGGCTCACTATTTGGCAAGATGACTAAGCCTTATATTGGCACTAGCTTACTTCGTCTTCTTCATCAGCCAGCTTCCTTGGTATCTGTTGTTCACCGAGTTGATTCCCCCCCATCCATCTTGATGTTTCTTGGCATCTCTTTATGACAATTTTTACGAGTTACTACCATTTATAATAAGGTTTAGCAGTACAGATAAATGTGGGCTCGCTATTTGGCAAGCAACCGGTCACAGTTGCCCTGTTTATTATCTTATAAAAGCCTAATATTCATGATTGATAAAGTGTTCACAAACTAATTAATAAATGAATGAAAAACTATTCGTAAACCCTTTATACGGGTAGTCATATTGTAAAGTGATACCAAAGTTTCTATAGGGGAAACTTTTGACTGAAAAATATAAAGCCTATATATAGTGAGCCTTTCAGTTTTGTATTGTCATAATAGATAATGGACATCTTTTATCATGTTGAGCATGTTTATCATCCACAGTGTTTGCCGCTGTTAAAAGATTGTATCAATTAGTAGTGGAAAGACCACGACCACGGTCTTGAATCCTGCGTCCTGATTGGTCCAAACGCAGCCCTCGTAATGTTCAGCGCTCCCATATAAACCCATGCAGACTTGACATCGGTGCTATCTGTCATGCAAGTCAAAAGCATAGTGAGGAGTCCAGTGTAAAGACATTGCTGGCAGCTTACTTGTGATAGCCTTCGTTTAGTGCGTTTTCAGTGCTGCAGAAGCTTTTTGGAGCGCTATTCTTATGATTTACACACAGAGCAGGAGGCGTCTCTTTACATTTAGTTGTATTATCTGTGTTGAGAGGACGATGCCTTTGAGGACCGGACTTTTTCTCCTGATGGTGCTGAACGCATCTGCATATGAACTGGATCAAAACGAGTCTTATTCGCCCAGGAGAGCACGCTTTTCCTCCAATAGCCCTTGTAAGTAACACGCTGCCTCCATCTGCATATCTCAGAGTGCACTGCTTGCTTTTTTACACACCGTTTCCACAATTCACAGGCTTACCTTTGCTTGCTTACTATGTGGAGATTGTTTTTTTCATCATTTATTTTTGGCCTATGCAGCCTTTTCTGTCTAAACGAGTGCGTTGATTCATGGAGAAGGCTGCGGGATTAACGCTGTGGTTTTCGCCGGTGTCCTGCAGGCAACAGATGAGCATGGAGCTTGGAGCTGACACCTGAGAGCAGGCTGTGTCATGCTGGTAGTCTCCTTCTCATTTGCTGCATAGGTCTTACTATTAAGCATTATAGGGATTTTTCAGTGCATAAAACATAAAGCTTCCCATGTAGCCTTCATGTACAGCCTTCAAGTCAGAACAATAGTGTGTTTTTAACATTGTTTGTCACTAGGGCTGTGCCTTTTTGACAATTAAATACAAGCCTGTTAGTCCACATGGTTCAATCAAATACAATAATGGCATGAGTCATAATCCCTTGGAATAATCATAATCAAGCATGACTCTGCATGGCTTTTTAAAACATGACTTCTTTTTTTAGCACAAAAGGTAGAACCCAGTGGGTGATAGGGATGCTGATTCCCTTCTGCAGGAATTGCTTCATCATCATAAGATTCGCAGCTCATTCTCTGTATATTGAGAGAAATCTCTGGTCCCTAATGGCAGGCAGACTTTATCTGACTATGCAGGTCAACATGGGGCCCCAGATTCAAAGTCTGCCAAGTAGGCTTAGTCTCCGCGGTGACATTTCTTAATGGTTATTACGAGGGATTTGAGTCAGGCTGCTTGCAATCTCAGTGGAGTCTTGGATGAGGAATAAGGAAAGCCAACTAACTGGACACACTGATTTACAGATTATGTGTATAGCCCATTACTGGTGTAACATTTCATGTCGGTTGCATGGATTTGAGAATGTGTTCCTTATGGCCGAGATTAGTTGTTGGATAATGACTGAGTGATGTTGCAGGGTAGCTGTTTCATTGGTTTTTACAAAGCTGGGGATCAGGGTTACTTGTGGGTTAATCAGCCTAATAACTATTCCGGTTATTGCGAGGCTACTGAAATGAATATGGCAGCATGTTTTTAATGTGGTAGATGTTTATTGGATACATTCTGGATATTTAATAGGACTGTGCTTGGTTATTAGTCAAACATGTTAAAGTGGTTTAAAGGCAGAGTCCTCAAATTCAGCTTGAAGACAGAGTCTGGTGGAAGTGCGTGTGTGTGTGTGTGTGTGTGTGTGTGTGTGTGTGTGTGTGTGTGTGTGTGTGTGTGTGTGTGTGTGTGTGTGTGTGTGTGAGCCAGTGGTACAAGTGTATGTTTGTGTGAATCTACAGGCACGCCAGCAATTTTCAGTAAAGTCTTTGGTATTTCTGGTGCAGTTCATCCAAGCTCTGCTGAATAGAACCAAACAGTGGAATATATGTCCTTGCCAAGAGAAAAGCGTTTTCGTGCCAAATAGTGTCTGAAACTCTCTGCGTTGTAAGGTGTCCAAGTCTCCAGTCAAGTCACTATTTGCCCCGAGTGACTGTATGTCTTTTGTGAATCACCAAAGTATGACATTTCTCCTTTGTCCGCCACATATTTTAGCTGAAACCCTGGCAACCCTTGTGTAATGAGCTCAGAGAGTGTGCAGTTATTCCCAGTGCACCCACTGCTGGCTCCCCTGCTGATGCTTCATTCTCTGTGCCCACAGCAGATGTGGCACGCTGTCTCAACAGTGCCCTCCAAGTTGGCTGCGGAGCCTTCGCCTGCCTGGAAAACTCAACTTGTGACACAGATGGCATGCATGACATCTGCAAGTCCTTCCTATACAGTGCTGCTAAATTTGACACTCAGGTACACACTCTAATTCATCTCACAATTACTTCTATTTCTACCGGTGTGTATTGGAATACATGGGTGTAACTGTCAGGGCAAGAATGTGTAAAGCGCTGCTGTGTTTTTACAGGGTAAAGCTTTTGTGAAGGAGAGCCTTAAGTGCATTGCCAATGGCATCACATCGAAGGCATTCCCCACCATCCGCCGCTGCTCCACCTTCCAAAGAATGATCTCCGAAGTCCAGGAGGAGTGCTACAGC